CTTCCCGGACCGGGGCACGAACCCGTGTCCCCTGCATCGGCAGGCGGACTCCCAACCACTGCGCCCACCAGGGAACCCCGGCTTGGTAAATTTTTAAAGGTTGATTTTCGAAAAAAAACTTTTATGTAACAAAACATATTACAAAGGCTGAGTTTGGGACGCAGGTTAGTTCATTATTTTCTAAAATAATGTATAAAAACTACGGTAGTCTTAAAGCAGAAGATACACTTTGAAGTTTTTTATATAAATTACAATCATGCACAGAAAGGGCCGTAGACCAGGGTATGAGGAGCTGCAATTTGCAGTAGGCCACACTGCATCAAGCTGCAGTAGCTGGGACTCCTTCTGAGCCTTCTCCCAAAGGCCGTATCAGCCTCCCAGTCCCCTAAGAATGGGGTACAGATATTAATCACAGGATTCCCTCCTCATCTAGGGTAGAAATGCAGGTGTACGAAGGCAAGTCAGTGCCAAGCCCCACATCAAACTCTGGTCCCTGCCAACATTCACATCAGCTAGGCGTCTGCACCTTTCATGGTAAACCACGGCCCACTAAAGGCCCTGCAAGATATCCGGCACCCCATCCTCCTCGCCCTTCCTGCAGTCCAAGAGGACAACCCGAGGTCCTTACAAAGTGCCACCAACGGCAGGGAGGGTGAGAGGAGCACGTCCTGAGTTTCAACTGCAGGAGCGAGGATGAGTCACAGAGGAGCCATCACACACCTGGGTGTCAGGCTAGTTACTAGAAAACGCTCTGAAAACATACATAACTAAACAGAACACACAAACCTAACTGGTAATGAAACTATTGTAACGACTTACAATTAAGAGGTAAAATGAGCAGCAGCTAAAACCGACAAGCAAATCAGGACAAAGCTGGTGACGGGCCGGCATAAGTGTCCTTCTCCAAACTCCCAGGGGCACTAGGCACCTCTACGTGTCCGCGCACGCATCAGGGAACGCTCCAGGCCGCCGAGTGCTCTCAGGATACGGGATCTGTCTTTCCAGTACATCCGACTCATAAATGACAACTTAAGTAACTGCTGCTGACCCTGCAGCTGCCCACACGTAATCCTGGACTCCACCTCGCCACGCACCCATGTGAGCTGCCCTGGGGCTGTGTCCTCGCGAGGACGGCCTGTAGCCACCAGGGCAAAGAACCGTGCTCAAAACCAAACGCCCTGACCTGGTCACACAAGACACGGAGTGCTGCGGTCCCAGCTGGCCCTTAGCTCACCTCATAGGAAAGTGATTTTTTCTTTTTCCTTTTTTTTTTTTTTTTTTTTTTGCGGTATGCGGGCCTCTCACTGTTGTGGCCTCTCCCATTGTGGAGCACAGGCTCCGGACGCACAGGCTCAGTGGCCATGGCTCACGGGCCCAGCCGCTCCTTGGCATGTGGGATCTTCCAGGACCGGGGCACGAACCCATGTCCCCTGCATCGGCAGGCAGACTCTCAACCACTGCGCCACCAGGGAAGCCCCGAAAGTGATTTTTAAACAACAGATTTTCTCTAAATAAATCTCTGCTCCAGGCAGCTCCCCCGAAACACTTCAGCATTTTCTAAGAAGCCACTTGGGGCCATAGATATTCATGCCACAAAATGCAAATCTCTCTCTGGGCTTCCCCACTTACTCAGATGTCACAGGACAAGGCCTGGGCGAGGGACACAGTGACGTGTTTATAGGGAGAACGCGCTGTCCTCTCCCAGCACCTGTCTGGGCACAAGTCTGTGACACGGGGTCCTCACGTCTCTCTCCTTTCCACCCATTCTAACAGCCACCACACAAGTCCAGCTCCTGACCCCTGACCCACTGCACCGGCGCTGGGGGCTCTTCCGTCACTGCTCTGCTCACGAGCCATGACTGCCCCATTTGCTGAGCTCCTCTGTCTGGCGCTTGGGCCCTCAGGGACGGGGCCCGCCACCACCCAGGGCAGCACTGGGCTGCAGGCAGGCCGGACGTGACGGCTCCTGCACCGACCCTGGCAGGGAGGCCCCAAGAGCCCCACATCAGCCCTCCCACCATCACACCGGCCCCTGAGCCTTGCCCAGCAGGGACTGGGCTCCCAACATCATCTCTCCTCCATGAGCCTGAAGGTACCCCAGCTTCTGCGTGTAAAAGTGCTGACAACCACCCCACACCTGCCCCAAGTCACCACCACCTCCAGAAAAGGGCATCACCACTGCCAGATGAACTGATGGGCAGAGGGGACCACATGCGCTATGGCTGTGCCCCACAAGAACCTCGGCAGAGCTTCTCTAACAGTGATGAAAGCTGCCAACTCCTTCCCTGATAAAAGTAGGCATCATGGAACTCAAATAGTGTGGCAGTCATTTAGTCTTTCATGGAAGGTCCTTTCTGAAGAACCACACTGTTACATCCGTGTTAAACAGAATAGATCTATCTATTTTAACAAAACAACTCTCAAAAATTATTTGCCACCTAGATTTTTTTTTTAATGTATTAGGAAAAAAGGAAGAGGAAGCAAGTCAAGTATGCTCCTAACAGAAACTAACTCAAAGCAACTTGGTTTAGCCTCTCATGAGTGGGCAAAGTGCCAGGAAGCTCTAATGTGTCTTAAGTAATCTTCAGTTAACTATTAAGCCTGTGGTCAGAAGAAATCTCACACAAACAACACTGGACTGGGAATCAGAAGGCCCAGATTTTAACCTCTTTTGCCATGGGCCTTTTATTGGTTCCCAGAGAGACAGAGCCCACCTGGGCTTCTGGGTCCTTCCATTTATGAAAAGAGCTGAATGTCCATATCTGAAATCCCAGGATATGGTTTCAACAGACACATAAATCATGAGGCAAGAGAACCAAGATAAACCAAACCTAGTTATCACTGCAACACAAAAGAGCGTTACAAACTTTGAAAATGCATGCCATGAAACATGTAATTAACATGGGACTGAAATCATCTGAAAGGAAAATAGTGGAATAACGTACCATAAAGTGAGACTGTTCATTCAAGTTAGAATCTGTCAGAATCCTGCATAAAAATGCAACTGAGCCCCAAGTCCCACACATAAAGTAGCCCTTTTCCAGGAACCAAGTCATGAAAAGTGCTGTTTCTACCAATGGGGACACAGTGGGTGTGAGTGGGAGTCTCCATTAGTTTTGCATATGACTGGCAAAGCGCAGCTTCCTGGTCTGAAGGCTGACTGACTCCTGGGAAGGAATGTCAGCTCGCCTCAGAATGGCCATTATGTTAACTTCTGCTTAGATAACACTCAATAGTTCTCCTTCCTGGACAACAGTGATGAGTATCACAAATCTCTCTCTAATCCAGCTCAAGAAATCACACAGTTTAGCATCCAAATCAGGCCTTCTTTGTTTGTTTGAAAGACCGGCAGGTTATCTGAAGCAAAGATGTGTAAGAACTAGCCTAGTCCTATCAACTCCTCAGTAAACCTGCTCGCTGTGGCTCTGCAGCGAGGAGAGTGCTGGCCGCCTACCTTCTGGTTCCCAATGTCCACCAGCTCCACGGAGCCCCCCAGCTGCTTGATGTCGGCGGCGGCGACCTCCATCATCCTCCTGATCTCGCCTCTCTTCTCCGGCCACGCAGACACGCTCTGGATGGCCACCCATTCCGAAAGTTTCTGTTTGTGGATAATAAGCAGATGGGATTCTGAAAAGGTGCTCCTTGAGGAAGGAAAGTACTCACAAGTGTGCCACTGTCAGGCCCACAGAGGTCACTTGCTACCTGCGGCCAGTCCATTTGGAACATGCTGCCCAGACACAGAAGAACAGCTCCATGGCATCTGCTTTTTGCTTAAGATATAAAGGGACTGCCTGTACTGACCCTACACCAAGAACTATACAGCATGACCGGAAAATCGTTAACCATTAAGCATGACGTGAGTGTAACATGTACAAAGTTCCACAAACACGTTTATATCTGCATCTGACAAAATTACAACTGAAAGATACAGAAAATACCCAATATTTTCAGAGTCCAAGTTGGCTTATTTATCATCCTGACAATGGCCAAGTTCTCTAAAATATAAGTTTTAGAATGAGAACTCTAAAGATTTCACCTGAAATATGTCTACCAAGGGTGATTTTAACGTATGATTCTTCAAGTTAACATCAAGTAACAGATTAATACATAACATTACCAAATCATTTAAAACACGCTAAATGTAAAATAGTTCTTTATATCTATCACAAGAACAAACAAAAATCTTCAATTAGCTTTGCCATTTCTAGAAACATGTATTAAGAGTTTCTGTCAAGAGCCAACGTATATACTGTACTGAGAAAGCAGAGGAAAAGACCTCTAGACAATACACATTTTTTAGTTACTTTTTATTTTTTTAATTTTTTTTTTTAGTCACTTTTTTTTTTGTGGTGAGAACACTTAAGATCTACTCAAGTACACGATACAGTATTGTTGACTATAATCACCACGTAGTGCACTCGATCCCAGAACTTACCCATCTTGTAACTGAGGTTTGTACCCTTTGGCCAACACCTCCCCAGTTCCCCACCCCCCGACAACCACCGTTCGACTCTCCACTTCTCTGAGCGCAACTTTTTCAGATTCCACATGTGAGATCACACTAGCGTTGGTCTTTCTCCATCTAGACAGTATTTTTAACACTTGATTAGAACAGCATAATTCATGTTAGCTTCTTGAAAGTTTCTCCGGGTGCCATGGAATTAAACTGAACTTGAATGCTCACCAGACTAAACATTCCCTTACCTTAACGTAGCGATCCTGATTCTCATCAACGTACTTAAACAGGGCAGTGAGGGCCGACATCTTTCAACCAGACCGCAGACCTTGGAGATTCTTGGAAAGAAGAAGAATCTATCAGTGCTGCCTCGAGACAGGGTCCAACTGATCAACAGGCCTGGAGGCACTTGTGCAGGATCATAAACTGTACTCCACCCCTCGACCAGCACTGGATGCAGTCGTCACGAGGACTCCAGCAAGTGACCTCGGCAGATACAGTGGTTCTGGAAAGCAGTCAGAGGCTCAGGCTGATCTCCATTCTTTTTTCAGAAGGAAAAGGTACACAGAATTGTGTGTCAAAATGGAAGGTAATCGAAGGAAGGGCCTGAGTTGAAGACAATCTGATATAAATTAAAAGCAGGTACTCCCCAGGAGCACTGACGTACCGGCATTTTAAAACGTTTTTTTAAAATTTAATTTTACTCTCTTAAAGGCCACAACTTCCCCTTACTATTACCACAGAAGAAATAATCACTCCAAGGCTCCCAGCAAAAATGTCACATCTTGTCTCCCCGCCACAAACCAACAACACAGCAAACAAAGCTCAAGGAGAGGATCGTAATTCAGTTTAAGGAAACTGACAACCTGGGCCCAGAAACAGCCAAGACAACTAGGGCCCGATTAAGATTAAAGAAACTTCCAGCCTCCCAGGTGCATTTTCTAACATCCAGTTTCTGCTCTGTGCGACCCAACGCGTCCTGCTCCACCTTACAAATACAGGGGGAAAGAAATCATGTGACCCATCATCTGTTTTGTTCGTTTGGCCGTGTCTCAAGGCATGCAGGATCCTATTGATAGTTCCTCAACTAGGGACTGAACCCGTGCCCACTGCAGTGGAAGCTCGGAGTCCCAACCACTGGACCGCCAGGGAAGTCCTGACTCATCTTCTTTAAAAACTGGAATCAATATGAAGCACAGAAAATCCTGGAATTGGCACCTTCAGAATTGGTTCTTCCCCCTTCCTCCAACTGAACTCAGGTTCTATCACGTGGCAAGACTCAAACCTCAGCAGTGACAGGAAGAAAGTGCTCAGGGACAGGGAGCAAACTCAGCACCGCAGTGACAGGAAGTATTTCAGAACTGCAGCTGCAGAGTCACAAGACCCTACTACATCTCTGTAGTTACGGAGCAGGACGCCAGAAAAGCGCCTGCGTGTGGACACACTGGAGTTAAAGAGCATCTTTTTCTTGGTATAGGATTCTGAAGTGACTTCTAAAGACAGGAGAGACTTTATCCACTGAGACATGAAGGCTGGCAACAGATCGAGGAAGTGCAGTGTGAGTTCAGTAAGGTCAATCCTCTTCCCACACCCATAAAAGAGCATACAAACCTTCCAGCCAACTCAGAGGGTTTCAGCTGAGGCTCTTGCCTCAAAGACAGGGATCCCTGAATGCAGAGGCACAGCATACAAGTCAAAGTTTTCAATCACAAAAGAAACCCTATTTAGCAGGACAATATGCTACATCAGGTACTTTTCATTTTAGTTTCTGGTCATTAAATGCCACAAATCCCACACTCACTGTGATATATTCTCATTAATATTATGTTCTTTGAGACCCAATTAACCAATGGCTTTCCAGCAAAAGTCAAAGTTTCAACTATCTAAGCTGCACCTTTTATCAAAGGAGAGTAAACAGAGACCGAGACCGACTGTTCAGCTCTGCAGGCCACCTCACCAAGGCTGGAGAAAAAGCAACTGCTCCTCTGAACTGCTAACCCAGTCAGAGAGGTCAGGCCAGGTCCATTTCTCCTGCCCACTCACAGTTCTGGTTATTCCCGTTTCACCACCACTTCTTTTTTTTTTTTTTTTTCCCGGTACGCGGGCCTCTCACTGTTGTGGCCTCTCCCGTTGCGGAGCAACAGGCTCCGGACGCGCAGGCTCAGCGGCCATGGCTCACGGGCCCAGCCGCTCCGCGGCATGTGGGATCTTCCCGGACCGGGGCGCGAACCCGTGTCCCCTGCATCGGCAGGCGGAGTCTCAACCACTGCGCCACCAGGGAAGCCCACCACCACTACTTTTATATGCCCTGGTGAACTCCATTTATTAGGGTGAAAGCACTGAGCTGGAGTGAGCAAAAGCAAATATTTACCCTCTCGAAAGAAATGCCAGCCTCACTCTCCTCTTGGAATCTAAGGTTCTGGGGAGTAACAACTTCAACAGTGAAACTAGTGTGAGAGGAAGAAGTGATACGGTAGCACCTGGAACCACCCAGCAATGCCTACGAATGATTCTCCCAGTTCTGAGTGCCCCATCCTGTCCCGCACTGATTCAAGGCACATGGTACCCTAAACAAACGCCTGAATCATGGCTTCCAATCTGTGTAAAACCACTGAAACAGCTGTAGAGACGTCTGGTTTGCCCAATCTAGACCTTCAATCCAAACGTACAGTTCTACAGAGTTACTTCTCGCCACCCCTCCCTGCAAACACCAGGGACGACAAAGGCATGAATAAAACCTGCACCAGATCACTGAGCCAGCACTGGGATCCCGTGCCGGCGGCGCGGGCGGCTCGCGGGCCCTGCCCGCGAGGCCCAGGGTCTCAAGGACTCGGTGCAGGCCGAACCGGGACCAGGCATCACTCCCCTTGACAAGTGAGAAAACGGAGGCTGCCTGAGAGCTGCCAGCTGCAAACTCCCAGCCTTAAATATGGGCGGGGTCTAGAGACCCCTGACCCCGGGCCTCTAACCCCCCGGGCGCTGGCCGTCCCGCGACACCAAACTCAGGCTTCCGCCAAGGGCTCTGCTGAAAGAGACAGGCTTTAGTTTTCTGCGGGCCTCGCCGAGGGAGGGTCGAGAGACCAGCACGCGCGCGTCCTCCCCGCCGCCCCAGAGCCCGGACCCCCGAGCGGGCCTTTTGACCCGACACCCTCTTCTCCCGTCAGGCCGGCCACACGCGGAGCGGACCTGCGTCCTCGGCCGCCCAGCCACGCCCGGCCTCCCCTGCTCCCCCGGAGGCGGCCCGGGGCCCCACGCTCCCGGCCTCCGCCCCGCTGCCGCCGCCCTCAGGGGCCTCCCCGCCTAGCGGTCCGTGACAGCAGCTCACCAGCCCGCCGCTGCCGCCTCGCCGCTTCCGTACCACGTGCCCCGGTCACGCCCCCGGCGCGGGCCCGCCCCGCCGCCGCGGGCCCGCCCC